TTCCCAATTCATTGTCTGTGTGTATGTGTCTGTGTGTGTGTGTGTGTGTGTGTGTGAAAGGAAGAGGAAGTATTTATCTTTTAATCATGTCCTCTTTCATTCGTTGTTCCATTTTCCTTCAACCTTTTCTTTCCATTTCTCTGTCACTGAATCCTCCCGTCTGCCCTGACCCGCTCCACTTCACCAGCTGCCTCTCAAAGTCAAGAACCTTGATCAGCGTCATTCGACGCCTCTTTCTACAAGCCTTATTCTTCCTGAATGTCTTTAAACCGCACTGTGTATTCATGCCAATCACTATGACTCAAGCTGAATGAATCACTAACCACACATTTGTTTCATTCAGCAAGTGATTTTGGATTATTTAGTCTGCCACACGACTGACACAGAGAGGAATCTGATGGTTTTTAATTCATGGAGAGGAGGTCTGGGTTTTAGGGAGGGTCGTCTTGCATCTCTGAATAATTTACATGTTTATTTATTAACATGTCATGAACTGAACGTGTAAAAAACATTCCAGGGCTGCAAGGATTGGTTGATTGGCCACTCTTTTGTCATAGTCAGTTGTCTTTGGAGTGATGACAGCATCAAATGGTTAAACTGTTGATCAACATTTTTAAAATTATTGAGAGGTTATGGCCCGGTGCCCTGACAGTCGATTTGATCAAAGATACATCACAGTGCCACATTTGACATGGTAAAAGTAACAAATTCTGCAAAATAATTATTTTTCTACTTCTTCAATATTTCTTCAGTTCATCCTTTTACTACCTGCATTAACTAATAAATAACTAACCGTTTTGTCTGTTTTGTAGTAGTGAGAAACACTAGAAAGTGATTATCTACAGTTTAATTTAATGTTAGGGCTCGAGGGTGAATTGGATCTTGATTATTAAAAATGAAATGCTAACACGTGACCCTACGTGCACAGGAAATGATTTCTAGTGGTAAGAGACAAAGTCCAGGTAGACTTTGTTAGACCTGACCAACAACACAGCAATAAAGTATAATTATCTCCTTGCTCTCAGCTGTCCAATATAATACTGGGCCAAACAATAACTTCAGTGATTTTTATTTTTTTTTATTTTTTGCAGTTTAAGAGTGAATAAAAGTTTCAAATTACCTGGAAACTTGACCTACATAAACATGCTGCAACAGGCTAAAGCTTAGTCTTTTACAGTTGTACTACAGGGTGCGTGTGAGGGGAATTGGTATGTATAAGATGGGGGCGGCCCACAGTGTGCTTTGACACCCTAATCCTCCAACTTTAGCTCTTGATTTTTGTAAAGACTGTACCAGTAAGAAAAGAGGTGGAGAAAGAATAGAGGGACTGGATGGTAGAAGAACAGGGGTCAGGGGAGTGTTGGGGGCAGCTGAGTGAAACAGGGCTGCAGGAGGGGGGAAAGGGTAGGAAGGTAGCTAGAGGGGAGATGCTTTTAACCTTCATCCTCTGGCTCTCAGTGTGAAAGAAAACAAAGGATGCTGGAGAGCTTGACTTGGGACAGCAGGACTGCTCTGACCCTGCCTGTTAGCTGCTCATCATTTACTGAGCCTGTAATCTGCCTTTCCTCCCACAATCTGTCTGCGTGTCTGTGCTGAAGATATGTTCCTGCTGCTTGTCTTGCTCCTCCGACTGCTGCAAGTGAGTGATTTATGCCGCCGTCTGCGTCCTAAAATAATTTTGTATATATAAGCTCTTCTCTGCTGATTTTGCATACCTGTGCCAAAATATTTCTGTTGTTGTTGTGTAGACAGACATGTGGTGAAGATTCTGTTATGATTTTTTTTTTCCTGGCTCTGCCTGGGCTTCTCCTCCATAACTCTCTACTCCTTGTCTTTTTTCTGCATCTCTTGAAGCAGCCATAACAGAAGCAGAAAAAAAAGCACATCTATAGACAAGACGGATGGAGATTAATGCTTGTTTTACATACCAGGAAGAGTTCATTCCAGGCCCATGACTAAACTCTCCACTAAAAAATGCAGTGGAAAAAGGAAATTTTAGCGTAAAGGTTAATCCAGATGTGTAAAACCAACATTTTTTTCCTGCTGTTTAATAAAAATCACGTGCAATTTGCTATTGTTGGATTACATACATAAAGCTACGGAGCCAATGCTGTCCAGCCTAAATATTTTGCTGTGGTTTTCTTTGGCTGAGTGAGAGGTGGCGTGTCTGATGACTTGGCAGGAGTGTTGGTCAGTCTGGCTCCTTAACTAAGACATCGGGGTTGGGTGGGGCCACCTGTCTGGCTTTTGTTTTAAAGGAAAGGGCAGCAGTGTGGCTCAGCCTGTAATAATAGATCTAGTTAATCCAAGCTCAGGTAAAGTAAATGGAAGTTACAGTAAAGGTTTTTTTTAATCTGCCTACATCCACTCTTTAACTTTAAATTTAACTTGCTTGACAGAATGAATACAAAGCTAAAATAATATGTTTATCACTGCACATCCATCCATCCATCCATCCATCCATCCATCCATCCATCCTCACATACAACTAATTCCAACTACACAATACATTTCAGTCAGTACTAGCTGAAATTTCATCAAACCACATGATCTATTAAAACACTGTTGTGGTCTGTGTGTGTGATGACGACAGGTAAGAGTTGACCTGCATTTCTGTATTTCAACAAGGCAGTCACTGCATGCTGTCACTCACCCAAAATAAAAAGCATATACAGTATCTTTTCCCGGCTTCATTATCTGGCCCTACACTTGTGCCCACGTTGGCCTTCAGAGGAATGTGCAGTGTTTCAGTTCAGTTTTCTCTCCTTTTGGAAGTACACCGTCAGGACACACACACACAGGAGTTAATTTTCTAATGGGGCCTCATCGAAGGAGCAGTTCCAGTCAATAACCATCTGTCAAGTACTCTCAATAACCATCAGTCAAATAAAGTCAATAGGACGAAGCAGAATCTCACTTGCAGTCGCTGTTTGTTTTTAGGAGATTGACTGTCACTTTTTGTTAATTGGATTCCTGTTTGGGAGAAATGTTTACGGCAACAATTTGCCAGAATCACTTTTTGTTAATTGGATTCCTGTTTTGGAGAAATGTTTACAGCAACAATATTAAGTGCCAGAAGAAGAAAAAAAACAAGATCTGCGTCTGTAGTAGAGTTTCAATGTGACTAAAACCCTGAACCTCCAAATTATTGACATATTGTATGGCAGGGTTTCCCCTTGTTTAAGCAGTTAGCCTTCAGATGATGGGATGAAGGTGAAGAGGTTAGACTGGAGGAGTGGGGGCAACAAAGGAGCTTGGTTTTGATGCAAACTGTCTCCCAGCTGAGCCCCAGAGGGTGTCTAACCATCACAACATGAGAAATGTCTCCCATGTGTCACCCACAATCCCTCCCTCTCCTGCTTTCACTCTTCTCCATCTCTGACACATTTATTTTTCAGTTTTATTGACTCTGTTTTTTCTTTACCTTCTCCATACAGCTGCTTATTTATGGATCTACCCTTTTTAAAAACAAACAAACAAATACAGTGCCAGGCGAGAGGATTGGTATTTGGATGTTTGCTAATCTGCCCGTGTCATAAAGTGCTGCATAACATGAACTCAATAAGGTTCAGAGTTGTTGTATCTTAGGGCAGTGGACTGGGGCATGGGCATCAGGTGCATCAAACCTCCAATTTATGTGAGGATGGGGTTAGGTCTCTTTGGTGCTGTCTTCAGCCCTTATTTATTCCCCTTTAAAAAACCAGGGACGTATTGGAAGGACTACAACCAATTCTTTCTGTTATCAGGCAGGGGTGCAGTGGACAATTCGTCACATATGAAGTGTCTGATAAAAAGCATGAAAAGTATACATGGGAAAATAAGCAAAGTCGGTACAGAATGACCAAGCACACTGCCAGCCAACCGGTGACTGTCTTGCTGTAAGGCTAGCGTGCTAACCACTTCTGCCTCAATGTTGCCTTGTTTCTTGATATTGAATAGCCAAGCTGTTTCAGTAAGACATAACTTGATCTGTGTGTGTCTGTGTGATGAGAGCCTCTGGGCCACCAGGGCGGCTTGTCAGTGTACAGCGTCGCCTGAAACAATAGCCAGCCATTGTAATGCTGATTGCCAGTTGTGGCGCCACACACATAGACATGCTGTCATGTACACAAATATAAAGGGATGCACACACACAGTGTCAGGTCAGCCGCCTTGCCTGTGGACAGCACTGTATTGTTGCTGACCTCCAGTTCTCCTGGACATTGAACAGTGAAGGCATTCAGACAGTAGTGGTGACTCAGGATCAGCGGGCAGTGACCACCAACACCTGCCTCTACACGAACACACAGTTGTTTTTCTAGTGGCTCTCGGAGTAGGGGTTAATGAAAAACAATATATTTTGTTCAGTTGACTTGGATGACAAAAAAAAAGGTAATAAATGAAGTGAAATGAAAATTCCGTCTCCTACCTCTTCTTCAAGATTTAGAGAGGCTGCCTTTTTTTTTCCTTTTCAAAACCTTTAAAATTACTCGCAGATATTTCATTCCATTCCATACAGTCTTTAATTATCTTTGTGGTGGCTGGGGGAGCTGTATGAGGTGGTCTCATTTTCTGCTGATGAAGCAGTTTTTACCTCCGGAAAAAGTTCATACGAGGTGAATGTGTTTCAGGCAGTGCAGACACATGGTCTGTTAAGCATCTTTAGCCAAGCTGCTCTTATCATTAAAGTATTAAATGTACATTGTTCTGGATGTCATGTCTATTTAATGTGACATTTATGCTAATAAACACCCATTAGCACCGCCAATTCCTGGGTGTCTCGAAAGAAAAGCTGTTGGTAAGGACTGGCACTCCCCTCCTCTTGTGCCCTATGGTGCCAGTGTAGCCAGGCTGTCAGTGACACACTCACACACACACACACACACACACACACACACAATCACACACAAGGATAAAGCTGGGCTAATGACTCATCTCTTCGTCTACTTCCTTCTCGCCACCTCTCCTCCCCTCTTCTCTCTTTCTGCCTATCTGTTTTCTTCACCCCTCTGTCTGTGCAGGGGACATCACTCAGAAGGGCTATGAGAAGAAAAGAAGCAAGCTGCTGGCACCATACATCCCACAGATACAAGGTAAGCCATGAAGACTTGTAAGAATTTTATATCCAGGTACAGCTTTGTAAGCCTTGATCAGGACGATTGATGCTAACGCTGCATGAATCGTTACAATGTACAACTTTAAATTGTTTTAATTTGCACATACCATAGTTTATCTCCTATTTCGAAGAGAAAGGTTAGCTGCTGAAAAATATCCTTACACACTCAAACAGAGGCCAAAAAATGAGAATTAGCCTCATATCATCATAACACTATTAGATCTGTTATTGTTACTGCAGCTGGGCATCAGTGACAAGGTGAAAAGATGTGAAGTTGGCTGTTGATGTCTTGTCGATAAGAATTCACCGTTCTAATGAATCTTCATTCTGACTTTGTCAACAATGGCAGCCACGGCCTAGCCATTAAAGGACTGAACTTATAATTGAGGGATCACTGGTTTAAATCCCGGCCCTGTCATAACTGATTGTTGTTTTTTAAATTTGGTCAAACAGCCTGTCCAAGCTACAAAGTTCTGTTTTTGCAAATTCCAAAAATACATCGCTCTCTGTCTACTTCATTACTTTTTGTCCTTTATTCTTCGGCCACGCAGATCTCTGGTCTGGCCGAAAGCTGGCCTCTCACTGGTTTTTCCACTGGAGTTAGCATGTCTGTTATTTAGCTTAGGCTCGTCATCTGTCTTGTTATTATACTTAACATTTATGGGCTTCATCCCTCCCTTCATCCTCGGTCCGGATGCGTACACATACATGAGAAAAGTAGGTGAGATTCTTGTGAAACAACACAAACTGTTCTTCCTGCAGAATGAATGGAAGTGTTAGTGCTTGATGACACATTCATCCAACATGGTGAATCAGTGGGTTAGCAGCTGAGCAGGTGAAATAAGAGTCAACAGACTGTAGGCTTCTGAGCTCCATTCAAGATTTTCCATAGTGCTTTAGTGTCTTTTATTTCACTGTTGTTCCATAATGCACTTGTGCCACATGAATGTAGGGGTTTTTCAATGGTGATGGTAAGGACGGTTTTAGGTAGAAGTTAGTGTTGGCCCATTTGATTGTTCCATAGGGGGCACAGTTCTGTGGGAAAATAGGATAACATGCAGTTATAGAGGAGAGCTCGACCCTAAACCACAGTGAGAAGACCAAGCAGGAAAATGCTTCATTTTATTTTCATTGACAGATATTGGATATTTCAAGCCATATAGCAACAAAATTGTTCTGTAATAAACAAGGGGACAAAAAATTAAAAAAAAAACGTTCTGTACAGTTAACACAACCAGTCAAACTGACAGGGAACAAAGCTTTTACACCAAGGGTACGTTTTGATTAAAAACACCTGCTTTCCACTAAAGAATGAATAAAACAAAGATCCAACAGCGAAATGATGACGCTAAAGTAACGTCTAAATAATACACACACACAAACTTGTTTATCATGTACTTATTTTAGTAGTTACTAGTGTCAGAAATATTAAAACAGTATTGGTTAAATATTAAACCTACCATCAGGAGGAGCAAGTCTCCTCCATCATGTCTTCGACCAAAGTAGCTTAATACACTTAAATTGGGTTTTTTGATTATACCAGACATTATCCCACGTCTCACCCAACAAGGACCTTCACCACTCCATAAATGTGTTTGTTAAGGGAAGTGACAAAACACATAGACTCTTTCTGTGTGTTTGTGTCACTTCTTTTTCAGAAAAATCGTATCGTTTAAGGACTAAGATGTACGACATACATTTGATTTCTAAACGGAGTCAATGTACGGAGTCAAGTGTCGTTTCTGAAGCTTTGGCTTGACAGGCAATAAAAATTCATATGTTTTCTCTGCGAACCAATCAGAGGCTCTCTGCTGTGACGGAGAATGCCTCTGATTGGTTCAGTGAGTCGTAGCTTTAGGACCTGCTCTGCCCAGCAACTCATTTTGGAGTCTTTGGTTTATTTTATAGTCTCGCTTCCTGTCCGATCTGGGAAAGGCTGTTTTGGTTTTTTTTTTTTTCTGTCAGGGAGATGTAAAAGCACCGAGGTGCGTTGATGCACTCACTCGTCCGCAGCTCATGTGTGAGTCACACTGTGGAGTTTGTCCTATCGGCTGTGGTTGTGTTTTATCAGAAACGTTTGTCATTTAATTGCTTCAGTAGAAGTGTGTGTGAATATCAATCGGTGGTGCAGTGGGCTTTGTTGCTGCTGCCGTCTGAGAGTTGCTGACCTTGTGGAGATTGCTGATCCCCCTCTAAGCTTCTGTTGCTGCTGTAAAGCCTGTTGCACTGATGGCTGTCTGGACAGGTGTCTGACTGGCTTTTCACTGGTTTGACGTGACCTCGGTTGAACTCCGTGATTGTGTTTTCTCTTGGTCACAGCGGTGTTGTGGTCGTGGGGATTTGATATTAAAACTTATAAATATATATGCGTTTTTATGTGTGTGTATATATATATATAAACATGTGATTTAGATTTCAAAACTCCGAGTTATTTCTGCAGTTAGGGTGTTATATTTGATGACTGAATCTTACACATAGATCTTACATCTAAAATTAGGTTGATCTCATGTGATCATGACGATGCTTTTTTCAGCAGGCGTTTGCCTTTTTTCAAATTCCCTTTGTAGTTTATGTGAGGAATTTAATCTTCTTACATACAGAGCATCAAACAGGCCTCATACCATGAGGTTTCTACAGGCAGAAGCGAGGGTTTTACTCTCTGATGTTTGACGTTAGTTATGTAACAAATCTCAAATGAGAATTGCATAAGCTAACGGATGAATCCAAGCCTGTGTCATGCAGAGGACAGTGAGGCTGTCGGGATTTAGAACTCGTCACTTAAAAAAAAAATGCTCCAGTAAGAAGTCCCAAAGCCTAATCACCTTGTCTCTCTTAAGTCTGTATAATTTGCGTCTGCTTCCCTTGGAACGTTCAAAGGCAGCTGGAAATCCAGTAAGACTGGCTGGATATTTCACGAAAAGGCATAAGCTGAATTTGAAGCTTCAGTGTTATTGATCTGGAATTTCCAGAGAATTAAAAAAAACAAAATTGGTCTTGACTCTCTGCAGGTGTAGACCCGTCACTTCAAATCGATAACAGAATCCCAGCGTCCTCTCAAGCTCTTCTTCCAACTTCTAAACACAACAAGTCCCGGGCTGCCAACACCCGGGATGAACGCTTCAGATCTGGTAATGATGGAATATAAATGCCAAAAAAACATTCAAGTGCCAGATGCTCTGGTATTTGCTGTATGCTAAACCACATTGCTCTGTCTCAGATCTGCATACAGAAGCCGTCCAAGCAGCTTTGGCCAAGTACAAAGAGAGGAAGATGCCCATGCCGTCGAAGAGACGATCTGTGCTAGTTCAGTCATCTATTGAGGCATGCACCCCACCAGGTGAGACTCTCTCCCCTCTTTTACTTTCAAAGGTTGTAACCTGTTGGTTTATTTTCACACAGTGTTGATTCCGTGTTCACCCGGAGCCTCAGAGCCTGACTCTGTCTCTTTCCAAGCATTTTTCTATCAGGAAGAAATGTGCAGTTTGAATGCATCCATTCTTTGTGACTATAAAAGATTCGGTTCTCACTGTCACGTTCCCAGGCAGACCTTCCCACATGAGTTGCATAATGGACGCATAATCAGACTTTCAACATCGTCTGAAAATGTTGACCTTTGGTTTGCTTTCATTGCACTTGGTTTCGTGTGGGCTGCTTTATATGGATTTTAGCAATTTTACAGCATTTTGTGGGCTTCCTTTAAAAACTTCAAAACGGTCCCTTGAATTTGCCCGTCGCTTTCCCAAAATGATCAAAAGCGAATGAATTAAAAATAATTTCAATCATTCGATAATACATCAGTCTGAAACTTGCTCTCTGGTAATGTGCCTAAGCCTTTATCTGTACAGTAAAAGGTTGATAATGTTGATAATGGTAAAAAAAAAAAAAAATGAAATCTGCAATAATTTGAGTTTATCTCTAAGTCTTTTCTCCTATTTTTTATGTTATTAAGCGTACATTTTTAATAAATATTTTAGCTTCATGACATCTGTTTCATGTCCTTTCCTTTTTCCAATTTTTTTGCATTTTTGTCCGTTCTCTTTTGTATGTACTGTGATTTGTGAATCCAAATCCATCCCCTACTTTACTATTCCTTCCTCCTATGTATTTCTTTGTTGGAATTATTCTGCGACTCTTTCCGTACTGGTCCGTCTGTGCATAGCTGTGAAGGTTAGAGAGAGATTGAAAGGAGACGCCTGAATAACAAACAGAATCACAGATGCAAGATAACCCTCCAGTCTGCCAACTGCAGGGATGTTAGAAATTACCCTGACAGCCTCAGCAAGGCAAACGGTTCAGCCCAATCTCAATTGGTGGACAGTAACTAGACTTCACTTTAACTACAAACAGTAAAGTCATTACTGGGAATATTAGTCACATCAAGGCTCATTAGTCCTGAGGATGTTCATCCTGCATCTGCTGTTCACACACAAAGGCTTGATCTCTCTTTTGTAAACATTCAGCCCTCATTTTTAGCACCCTTTTTGAATTGGAATACATTGCCCGTATGTGTAACGCTTAGATGAAAAAAAAAATCCTGACAATATTCTATGTAATTTACTGAACTTTTTTGTACGTATAATTTAAATATCTAGTTTTTTACTGCAGTGTTTTCTTGTGGAGTGTGTTTTCTCAAGAATGCAAATCTCTGACAGGCTTACTGTGCAGTTTTAGCCATCTTGTTAAAAGCACTGACACGTCAGTGAACTTGGCAGATTCTTATCTTACTTTGAAGGTCATGTTATTTTCAGTTCTTTTTGCTTAGACCCACTGCCTACAAATTCCCCACAGAAAAAAAACTGTGTAATCATAAAGGAGTGTTTCTAATACGTGCCAGATTTCTGACCATACACCGCTGCCCGAAAGCAAGATTGTGTTCTATAAGGAAAACTAGTAGCCTCTGTACAACTTATTATTTTAGCTTTAAGACACATGTTATTCTTTAGAACTGCTATTCCAAATGAATCATTTTATTATCGGTGCATTTTTTTCTCTCTACCTACTTGATGAAGTCCTCATTTCTGCCCACTATTTCGATGCAGACACCTCGTCAGCGTCAGAAGATGAGGGTTCACTGCGTCGCCAGGGTCGTTTGGCCACCACCACGCCCTACCAGGGGCACAGCCACCCTGCCGTAGAGCACTGGTTCAACCGCGTTATCCAAGGTTCTTCCACCTCGTCCTCTGCATCTTCCACCTCGTCCCACCCTGGAGGGAGGTCTGTCACCAACAGCACTGCCCACGCAGCCCTCAATGCCAATGCTACAGCTACGGCACTGGCAGATCTCATGGCACACACGCAGCTAGGTCAGTGACGCAATCGGTTGAACCGTCCTTTTACCGTGCAACGGCCATGCTCCCAGTCTGAACTTGTGGGTGAATATACGTGTGGTTAGCAAGCTGCTTTGAAATGACAAAAAAGGGCAGCAAAAATGTTTAGAGTATTTCTTTTCCTTTGATATTATAATGTATTAAAAAGTTTTCAGATGTAACTTTAAAGTGCTCAAATACTCACTGGCTCACTGTATAAGGCTCTGAAAGTATCATGTGACCGAGGCTAAATTATAGACACATGTCGGTTTCCCACACCTTAGTGAGAGCAGAGCGCTTACTTTCCTTCAGGCACACACACACAGCCGTGTTACAGGAAATGAGTGACAGAGTTTTGATTTATGTTTTTGTAATTTGCCGTCTCCATCTGCCATCGCGCTGTCACTCAGTCGTATCAGCTGGCTCGCAGCCATTTCCTTGTCAAACCAACACATGTCACAAGCTTCTTGAGATTCAACTGATTCGTTTGTCTCCGTGAAAAGCGCTGAATTCGAGTCGTGTATCCATGTCTGCTTGTGGCACCAATTGATTTGTTCGGGTTTTGTGTATTACAGTACGGGCAGAGTGGTAGAAATATGCTGCGGATTGGAACCTAATATAAACAGTGACCTCTTGACAGATAGGACATACCGTGTTTGAAGAAAATGAATGGTTACAACACAGATAGTGCCAAAGGAATAGTTAGATGAGGTCAGCTCCTAGTAATTGACGGTACTTCCAAAATGTGATTTACAGTAATTTAGCTCAAGTACTCACTTCAACTCTAAGGTAGAATTTTTTTTTACCTTAGCAACATGTACTTTGTCATCTTGGCTGTTGTTAATGCGATCACGTGAACTCTAGCCTCTGAATTCCCCAGACTGTCAAATCAGTATTTCCAACAATTCATGGAACAGATTTTCATACACTTGCAGCACTCCAGAGCATTCTAGACAATTGACCTTTTAACCCCCAACACCCCACTCACCACAGATAACCACTCAGCACCCCCTGATGTCACAGGGCTGTCGGAGCGCTCCTCGCTCCATTTGGAGCAGCCCCAGGTGGCCTCAGTACGGAGCATTTCCCGTGGCTACAATCACCACACCAGCGTCATGGAGACTGCAGATGGTGAGTTGTCCTACTAATGTCCAGACTCAGAGTCACAGCCACCTCCCTGTCCTCTTCTTCCTGCTGTCTGTCCCTCTGTCTTAATCAGACAAGTCCAAGCTGCTGTCTGACCTTCTTTTGTTGCCATGGTAACAGTTCATTCTATGCTACCTACTAAAAATCCTCGGTGTTTTTACCTTAGTGATTTAACCTCAGACTTGAACATTGTTACACCTGAGTTTTTTTACCTGCAAATTCAATTCTTTAAAATGTGGCGTGAATAACTGATTGTAATTCTCAGTGAATCTAAACTATACTGCTGCATCTGCATAAATCTGCACACACCATACAAACATTTTCAATTAACAAGCTGCTCTGGATATAACTGTCAGTCAAACCAGCCTGTTTTAAGAGCTGGTTGAACTGGTTCTATTTCTGTCTGAAACGGCTTCGACAGTGTTTCTGTATGGATGGGTGAATACAGTGACCTCTGACATGTGTGACAGAATAATCAGCATTTCACAGACGAGTCGGTCCCATTACTACAACATTGTGCTTCATCACAGATGAAGAACTTTAAACACCAGTGTCAAATCCGTTGTTATATTGTGATAACACCTTGTTGCCTTGTCTTTTTTAGAACATATTTCTCTGGTGAAACTCTGCAGCTGTCATCCTGGTGCAGTGACTTGCAGGTTTTGGAGAGGAATTCTTAAGTAACAGTTCAGGTCTCTGCCTTATATGGAACACACACGAAAAGCTTACATAATAATAAAAAACACAGGTTAGCTTAGCCGGATTAGTTCATTTATTAGATATTTGTTTTGTTTATTTATTTTTGCATTCATGTTGAAGAAAATTAAGTTTCATGTTTCATGTTCATCCACATTTAGGGATGGAAATCTGTGAGAATTAAAAAAAAGCCATTTCCTTATCACTTCACCTTTTCAATTCTAACCGTGTTAGAAATAAAATAGTCCAAAAAATGTGCAGAACATTTCTGGAATTAACACAGATCTGGAATTAATATGTAGATTCCACTTGACCCAAACTATTTGATTTTTATTATTGGACGATGTCTTGGTCATCTGTGGGGAAAACCTCATTCAAATACTTGCTGAGTCTCATTCTTTATTATCGATCTGTTGGTGAAAACACTGGACTTGTGTTTGCCAAGCAGGACATGTGAGTACAGGACTATCTTTTTTGAGTTAGCTGTGATGCATTGTATTTTTGTCAGCTGTTTAGTCAGCAATAAAGGGCGATTCATAAATTTATTGGCTTTTGTTTTACACAAAGCACAGGGTCAGGCGTTTCAAACGCACACTTGGATGAGTTCTACTTTTTTAAAAGGTGTACTTGGAAAGTAAAGACTAAGAATGTTGAGTTGCAGGCTCTGCCTACGGAGTCATCAGCGCCACCACTAGGCAGCAGACGGTACATCTATTGTAAATTAACAAGCATGCGAGTGGTGTCAACTGGTGTACACGACGGTAAATCAGTTACCTGGCAGTAGCGAGAAGGAGGTAAAAGGAAGGTTTTCCTTTTTGTGCTGTGGGATTTTTTTCACTGGGATTTATTAAAAAAACATGCAAAAATAGTGGCTCTAAAAAAACTACAGTTTGTGTCCTTGATGAGCACACTGTCTGCGTCAACACTGCAGTTTGGCTCTCACTTAGTTCACAGGACTGTGTCACTGACATCCTGATGTGTCTCGCCTGCAGGCTGTGAGTGGGGGGGTGATGGACCCCTCAGTTTAATGGAAAGTTATTTATAACATGTTCTCTGACTTTGTGAGAGTCTGATACAAGGGCTGCTCTGCTTTGTGTGTTTGTGTGTGTTTGTGTGTATTTGTCTACTTGTCAAAGCTGGGTTTAAATAGGAAAACTAAAACTGTTTGATTTGTTTGAATCTTTGCTGTTTGTGCAGCTGAATGTCTCGCGTCTGCTCTGCACTTCCAAAATCACTGATGGTGACTTAAACACAACATATGACGTTACCTCTGATAGGTGTAACAGTAACCATGTGACACAATAAGGGGAGCAACTGACACAGTCTGACCCAGATATATTTATATATTTATATATAT